AGGGGATGCTGCCAGCCACACTGCCAGTCCTGGGTCTGCCACAGGATCTTTTTCAGGGCTGGAGTGGTGGTTGGAAGAATTAATTTGAGGTCATTTGGATTCTTTTCTTATCAGCACCCCTTGATCACCAGTCTCCCATTGGAAACACACTTTTCCTGCCCCAGGAAGGTCCTGCCCCTCAAATGTCACTGGTGGGCAAAGCACTACAGCAAGTTCCCGCACAGGCTGGGAGGGGGTGCGGAGAGGAAAAGCGTGGGTGAGATGTACAGGTGGCTCTTTAGCTGGCTGTGGAGGGCAATGTCACAGTAGCACGGGCAATGGGGCTGCTGAGTGTCCCCTCTGCCCACCGCTGCAGCCGGCTCTGCTTAACCCAGAGGGAGCTCCCCCATTTCTCTTGAGAGGAAGAGGAGGGCAGCAAAGAAGGGTGGGAGGAAGGATAAGATGCTCAGCCTCCCACGTTTTGCAGGGACTCACTATGTCATATCCAGGTTCCTGGTTCAGATCACACTGGGCAAAACAAGAGCAGAGCAGAAGAGCAAAGGCAACCATGGAGCAAATCCTTCCCTCTGGTCCTCATGGCAACAGAGGGACCCCAAACACGCTCCCAGCCCCATCGAGGTGAAGAACACAAAATCCTGTATCAGTAGTGCCTGAGGATGCCATGACCCCAGGCTAACACAGAGAGGACCCTCGACTCCATGCCCATGGTCCCTTTGCACAGCGGTAGCTTGGCCTCGGATGAGGGTTGCTGTTTATCAAGCACAGTTTGATTCCCACTTGTATCTTGTTTCTGCAAGAGGCTTCTTTCCTGGAACTACTGCCTTTGACTGGTCCTTGCTAAGGTGCCCAGAAACCTGACAACTGGGATGCTCATAAATAAAAAAGCATGTGAATGATTGCTTTCAGAATAAACATCTAGCGGATTTTTCCACTCCATGCTCTCCGGACCTTTCCCGGGGAGAGCTCACTAAAAGTGGATTTTGTTACCCTCCCCGGTCCCCTGTGGGGTTACAGACACAGTCCTTGCCCTGTAGGACTGCATTAATAGTCTGGAAAGGGCACAGTGTTCAGCACGACACAGTCTTGGAGATGCTGCTTCTCCCCTGTGTTGGCCATCCCCGGACTAGCACAGCCCACCGCTAGACCCTGACCCCCATGGCTCCCACTGGCCAAAGCCACATGCCGAGATGCCAGGGACATCAAGGGGGCCAGGACATCCCCATCAGTGTCCAAGACCAGGTGTGAGCATGCTGGGGGCCGGGGGGGAGCTGCTCTCGACCTGCCAGCTGAACTGGCCAGGTGTGAGCATGCTGGGGGAGGGGGGGAGCTGCTCTCGACCTGCCAGTTGAACTGCAACCTCCACCCTGATAGCACCATGGCTAACCCCAACCACCTCAATGAACCAGCCTGACCATCAGCTGGGATCAAAATTAATCCCACAATGCCCTCTGATGGTGGAAATTATGTCTGGTGTGGACAGTGCTGTGCCGGTGCTGAGCCCTTGGGAACAGCAATACCCCCTGGGCTTCAGCCTGGGCATGGGGAGCGGGTGACTGGGCCAGACAGGGACAAAGTGGAGGGGCTGCAGGGGAGATGCTGCAGAGGAGGGGCAGCTGGTTCAGCCATAGGCACTCCTTGGCTTTGCTCTCCAGTGGCACTAAGGGCAGGGGGGGGGGCTCACATCTGGATTTGCAGCTGTTTGCAGTGCCAGGCCCTGCTGGGATCTGCCTTTCTCAGGGCAGGATTGGGGTCTGGCCCCATGATGGAGCTGGCATGCGGCCAGGAGAGATCCTGCCCTCGCCCACGTGCCAGCCCGAAAAACCCGAGAGGGAGGCTGTGCCGGCGGAGGAGGTACAGCCGCTGCTGACCCCTGGCTACCGACGCGCTTAGTCAACTTGATGGATCTGTCTGGGCTCTCTGTTAATAAACAGCATCTGACCCGAGCTGTCTCGGAGTTGTGAGTAACGAGTCATCTTTCTGCAGATCAGTAGCTCACGGGGCCGATTCCTCCTCCTCCAGATAACGCACCGGCATGTCCTGCCCCCGCCATCTCACACCATGGGGAGGGGGTGCTGGTGGCAGCGCGTGGCTGGATCATTGCATCACTGGCATGGAGAAAGACATTGTGCTTCAAAGAAGCAGCATCAACATGCCGCAGTTTGGATGTTGCTGGGTTTTTTTTCCCCCCCAGACAGAATGATTCTCCATCTCCAAAAGGAAACTTTTCCTCTTCCTCCTCCTCCTTGTTGTATTGCTTCTGGTTTAGCCACCTTCGTATATGTTTTATAAAGCTGGTCCTTTCTTTCCAAGCTCAAAAAACATCTCTTCCACCCATGGTTTGGTGGGATGCTGTATGAACCCATAGCATCCCTGGCAGCTCTCTCCCACTACCTCCCCCACCCAAGCCAACCTCACAAGCAGAACATAATGTTGAGTTTTGTTTTGTTTTTTTTTATGAGGACCAAAGATGAGCTTGTTTTATTGTCACACCTAAGGACACATCAGAGAGGACCATGCCATGGCTGGGATGATGCACAGGACCCTGGGGGCACCACCAGGGAGGGGGGGCAGGCCTGCAGGCAGCAGAGGTCATGGCCAGGAGCATCACCATGTGCCACACCACCAAACAGTAGCTGCAGCATTGACCTAGGGTGAAGGAAGAAGAACTGAGTCTTGCGAGGGCACCACTGCTGAGAGACCAGTGGTCAGGGATGAGACAGGAAACCATGTCCCAGCCACGGCTCTAATGCAAGAAAAACCCAGCCCAGCTCTTCCACCCTCTCCTGCCGCACAAAACCCAGGTGTAACCCTTTAACACTGCTTTTCCACCCCTCAGCCCCATTTCACACCCCTTTATACCTGCCCCCAGTCCCAGTACCTGCCCCCTGTGTGCATCCCACCCCTGGTGCCCCACATCTCTGAGCCCTGCCTGCGAACTGGGGCTCTGTCCACCTGCTGCCCATGCATCTGCCAGGCACACCAGTCTCCCCTCTGCATCTTCTTCCTCCTGGCCATATTTACAATCCTCCCTTCACCTTTCTCTCGAGCCCTGCAGCATCCCACCCCCCCCAGTGCGTCTCCAGCCATGGGACGAGGTAGCCCTGACCTGGGGCTCCATCAGGAAGTGACAAGGGCCAACCCAGGACACTCAATCCACTCCACCCTGGATAAAGTGATCCACCATCCCTCCCTCTCACAGCCCCAACCCAGACCTACCTTTCTCTTCATCTTGCCCTCAGATGTGTCCTCACTTGGGCACTGCAGGAGAACACAGGATATATAAACCTCCCTTGCCTCACTTCACTTTTGACTTCCAAAAGTGAGCCAGGGCATGACCACCCCACTTGTGTGCACACCAACGTGTACCTGCGCACCCCATCCCTATGCACACATGCTCTGAGCAATCACACCACCATCACTGCCTGCTCCTGGCCAGCTCGTCCCCAGCATCCCAGCCTGGGCGACTGCCAGGTGCTTTGTGTCCCCAGCACAATGACAAGCTCAGTCTCCTGGCTTGACTTCACCGTGCTGCCCGCAT